CTTCTCTGTCTCACACACACATTAATGTAACTTAATAGTAAGGGAAAGTACAGGGTCTGAGTGTGTGCACTGCACACTGTTCAGCGCAGCAGGATGGAGCGTGCACTTCAGTACAAAGTAGACAGATTGTTACAGTTCAGCCTGTCTGTCCAAGCTGGGACTCCGGTCCCAGCAGCCACGGCGCCGTGGGCTGGACCAGCAAACATCTGCAGGCAGAAGCACATGGCTCCTCTGCTTCATCTCCACATATAGCGTCCATTTACGTCCGTCTGCTGTCTGATGTTCTTTGTTGTGACGATGGTGAAACTAGCGAATACAGAGAAACAGAATGATGGAGTGATGTGTGTGCTGCAGGGCGACCACACCTCAGGAGGAATTCCATCTCCTGTCGTTTGTTGCAGGATGCTGTGCAGTTGTCACCTGCCCAGGTGTTTGTGTGGGCCGACGTGCAGCTGCAGGCGAGCAGCGGGACGCGAGGGACGAGAAGCACTTGATGAAATGAGTCTGATGTGTGATAGCAGACAGAAGGTCAGTCCACTTGGCAGCAGACAAGGAGGACGAGTCTTTTCATTCCCGCACAAAAAGCTGGAAACACAGCGGAGCGAGTGGAGGTGAAGAGTCTGTGATGCGAACGCACTGCAGTGAGCTGTGGCAGGATGAAGTGCTTCAGTCAGTGATCATACTGCGCAGTTCTCTGCCTGCAGTTGCAGCACTCAGCTTTATTCAGATGTCCTTGGGTTGCTGCCACCACAGGACGTGTGTTTATAAAAGTCTAGGTATAGTCGGTCCCTGCTCTGGGCGGCTCAAAAACCCTGCTGAATGTCTAGACGTGTCTCACAGCCATTTACAGGTGCGGTGGCTAAGGTTTGTCCAGACATCCACTGTGTCCACGATCTGGTCATAAACGTTCCACCTCCATTAGCAGAGAACTCCTCTGTGGGGCCGAGGAGTAAAGGTGACCTCGAACTGGGGTGGGCTGCAAACCAGCGTGTGGCTGGGAGAGACCAGTGAAACATCATCCCCCACAGTGACAACAGGTTCAGTCTCACCTGGGTTGCAGGTGGAAGGAAAAGAGGCCTCAGTGCTGCTGTTGTTGTCAGTTCACAGTGTTTTATCTTTGTGTCTTTGCAGTTGCAGCACATTGTGCTGAACACATCTGAGTAATACCACAGTGTAAAAATACTCAAGTAAAAGTCCTGCATTCAACATGTTACATCAGTAAAAGTACAGAAGTATCAGTATCCAAATTGTAGGACCTAAGCGTCCTGCATGTTCATTTCTGAGGAAGAGCTACTATTGCTTCAAATACCTGGGCGTCCACAACAGTGAGGACCTCACTTGGACACCTTACACCACACAGCTGGTCAAGAAGGCCCAATGGCGGCTGTACTTCCTGAGGAGGTTTGGCATGTCGCCTAGGATCCTTTGCAACTTCTACAGCTGCATCATTGAGAGCATCTTGACCAGCTGCATCACTGTCTGGTATGGCAGCACTACTGCTATGGACCGCAAGCACCTGCAGAGAGTGGTAAAGACTGTTGAGAAGATCACCAGGACTCCACTGCCCTCTCTGCAGAGCATTTACCACCGCATGGTGCGTAGGACAGCTGCTGCCATCCTCAAATATCCCACCCACCCCCAGTACGGACTGTTCACCTCCCTACCCTCTGGCCGGAGGTTCAGAAGTGTGAAGTGTAGGACCTCCAGACTGAAAAACTCTTTCTTTCCCTCTGCCATCAGACTCCTAAACAGCTGAGGAGTTTATTACCAGGAAATACGTCATGTACTGTTTACATTCTCAGTTTGCACATGCATAATTGCACATTGACTGTTGACTGCTGCACATGCTGCTCCCATGCAAAGAATTTCATTGTACAGGGAAACATGTATCCTAACTGGGCATATGGCAAATAAACACTTTGAACTTGACCTTGACCTACTTGAAGTACCATCAGTACCAGTACTCGTCCTGCAGAACAGCCCGTGTCCCAGTAACGTCTCTGATACTGGATCATAGTGACTAATTACTGTGTCCATCACTTTAATGCTGCAGCTGGTAAAGGTGGAGCTGATGGTAACTACCTTATATACTTATACTGGGAAGTACTTTCCATCCTGCTGGGTAGCTGGTGGATTTCCCACTGGGATCAATAGAGACTGATGGTTCTACTGGGTTTGGTTTGATTCATCTGATTCTGGAACTGAAGTTATCAGGTACATGTAGTGTAGTAAAAAGTACACGGTTTGTCTCTGACATGGAGTCACAGGATGAAGTAGCGGGACAGGGAAATACTCAGGTAAAGTAGAGATACCTGAGAACTGTACTTCAGCACTTGAGTGAACGAACTTAGTTTCTTGTCTCTGTGGGCAAGCATCAGTGACATGAACTCTGAAGGCCAGGGTGCAGGAAGGCCTGGAGGAGGTAAGTGAGCAGTGAGCGCCTATGCTGTGGCTCCATGGCTCCACAGCGCTCTGCTTTTTACATCGGACATTTTTACAGATAAAAAATGAAAAAGCTGAATTCTTTTGTCCAGATTCTTTTAACTCCATCACATGGATGGGCAATGTAACCATCTGACACCACCAGCCAGGTGTGTGTGAGTGAGAGGTCATTGGATGTCATCAGTGGGGTCACAGCGAGGTCACAGGGTCACTGCAGGTTATCAGCATTTCAGTCTGAGCTCTTGCTCCCTTTGTTTCCGCAGCAGTACGTGTCTCACTATCTTCTGACATAATGGGACAAAGGATCAATTGATTAATCATGAAAATAATCAGCCCATTAACCAGTACTGAGACTGATCATTAGCTGCAGTATAACTTCATTTTGGCACAGACAGGTCAGGAAGCTGCAACCAAAGCAAACTTCATTTATTTTACAATAGCTTTTGAAACAAAGACACACTCTGCATCAGTTCCCAGTGCAGTGCAAACAGCACTCAGCTGTCCCTTAGTACAACGCACAAGTATAAGCTGCTGCTCTGGGGGCCAGGGAACAGGAAATGTACTTTATTTGTATTTAGTATTTGTTTATCTGTCTGGTGGTGCAGACTTTACAAATTAAGTATTTTTCTGACTTTTTTTGTGCAGTGTGGTCTATAGCCATGAGGGATGTACTGTCAGGCCGTGCTGCTGTTCAGCTGGACTGGGTTACACAGAGAGATGGCTCTGGTGTTTAGCCTCACTGATATAAACTGGATGGACAAAATAATAGAAACCCCTCTCAGCATGTAAAATGCATTAACCACATATTATCACTGTCTGGCACTGAGAGGTCAAAGGTCAAACATCATACTGACTGATGTAAACTTGTTTCTGTGAAGCTTCTTCCACCTGTGGAGCTGGCTGAAGCACGTGACTGAATGCGGAAGTGGAAAGAGCAGCGAGTTGCCAACAGCTGAGCAGCGGCAGAGATCCTCTGTGATGAGGATGAACCACTCTGTAGTAAAAGAAATAAACAAAACGCCTCACCCGAAACTAAAACACAGGTGGTGAAATGCTGATGAAAATGAAAATATAAGCAGAGTCTAACCCTGTTCATCATTTCAAACTGCTTGCAACAAAGCCTCTGTTTTAAGGGCCTGTTGAATTATTGGAGCACATGAAATCTTATGTATCTCAGTATATTTACTAAAACCTTTGTGTTTTAATTCATTGTAGGATTTTAGGGTCTTATTTAGGCCTATTATTATTTTATTGAATTCATGTAATTATTCAATAATTTTGTTAAAATTTTCATTCATGCCCTGCTATGACTCTGGCAAAATCATTTCCCCCCTTTATTTGTTATGTTGTTTTGCTATTTCAGCTTATGAATGTTTATATTTTAGGGCCAAAACAGCTGGACAATAAAGTTTATCTAAGAAATATTCAGAAACCACAAAAATGCAAACAACAAATTAGAAGATTGTTAAATTTTACTGCAAAGAAACAAATCAAAAGAAAATAAGTTTATTATTGTGGAAATTATAATAAAAAACCTCAGCAGCAAATCTTCACAGGTTTCCACAATAAACTGTAACCAGTGAATTTTTGTTTAACATCAACTAATGACATAATAAAATATTAATTTCTGCTCTACATTAAATACAGTTTTTTTTTATCTGCAGTCACTCTTCATATTAAGCTGCAACAATTAGCAGAAAATTCATACAAATCTATACTAATAACTGACTGATATAGTCAAAGCATCTTAAAATGAGGATTAGATACTTTTCATTGGGACATGTGAAGGCAGACTGCATCTTTTGACTTTTGGACCATCAGGTGAATAATAAACAAATCTGTCACCAGCAGCAATGTGACATGATAACAATAGACATGTTTTAGTTTTCTGACATTTTATAAACAAAACAATTAATTGAGAAAATAACCTTCAAATTAATCAATAATGCATCAGTAATAACAATGCAATCAGTGATACTGCAACACTAAAAGGAACCTTTTCTCCATTATAGTTTGCTAATAATGGAAGTTTTTGAATGCAGGACTTTAACATGTAATGAAATATTTTCACAATGTAGTATTGCTATTCTAACTTGAGTAGCAGATGAATACTTATTCAAATAAAGGACAAACCCTGAGGGTAGTTTTTAATGGCATTTGGTAGAGACAGTGTACAACAAACATTCATCTCATCAATAAGATACTTAGGCAAATTTATTAACTAAATGATTTCTATGAGTAGAAATAATGAATGCAGTTCATACAAATCATTCTTCAAAATCGCTTTTTTTATTTTGCCTGTAAATCGAGTTGCTGCAGTCTACTTCCTTGAAGTGTCATAAAAATCCGTCAGAGTGAGACTTCTGTCGCTAGCCCTCTCTGACGGCAGCTTCAGCATAGCTAGCAGCAGGAGCTAATCCGGCTAACAGCTAAAGGCTAACGGCTAGCTAGTGGTGGCTATGATGGCGGAGCTGGTGCAGGGACAGACCTCGATGAACCAGTCGGGGCTGAAGTCAGACGGCCTGGCCGATGTTTTACAAAGGGCCCGGCAGGTAACAACTCCTCAGGGGCACAGCACACACCCGTTCCGGGTCGAAGCGGGTCGTTTAGATCGAGCCAAAGCACTTTTATTCGAATTCACCCGTGTTGTGCTGCTGCTGCTCCTAACTTATGCGCTCCGTCAACACACACTCACACTAACGCACATTCACTAGCATGCTAACTAGCTCGGAAAGCAGTTCGAAGTTGGACTTTGGGTCGGTTTTGCACACTTTGTCCGGACTGACACGGCCCGGGAGTTAGTTTAGGGGGAGTTTGTGTAGCTGTCACCCGGAGGGGAGCGCAGTGGGACCGGGGAGGGGGAGGGGGGCAGGACAGAAGTTTGGCCACACGTGTCACTGGGGCTCAGACAACCTGTTGGGCTGCAGACAGAAACGCGGTGAAACCTGTGGGGACGGGACAAGAGTTGGACCTGGGTTTAAAGACCTGCACAGTGTGCTGAGCAGGCCGGGGCGCACGGAGACTCCGTGTGTTGAAGCCTCGGCAGTGAGTGTGAGCGGTGGACCCCCTCCCTTACAGGCTGCTGTTTACTGTAAGTTGGTTAGAAACTAGGCTGGCGTTATGCAACAGCCCCCCCGCCATATACAGCCCAGGGGAG